TGTGTGCACGCAGGTGTGTGCGCCTGCCTGCGTGAGTGTGTGTGTCCACACACGTGGGGGGCGCGTGTGTGTGCGGGTGCACGCCTGTGTGCACACGCGTGTGCGCAGAGGTGTGCGTGCGCGTGCATCCTCTAGCAGGTGTGTGCACCCACGGGTGGGTTGCATCTGTAGGCCTGTCACCCGGGTACGTGCGTGCATGTGCATATGTGTGTGTGCATTCTGCATACGCACATGTGTGGGTCTGTGTGTGTACACACGCGTGTCTGCTTGTGTGTGGTGTAGGCACGTGTGTTTACTCAGGTGTGTGCACGTGTGTGCTTGTGTGCACGCGTGTGCCGGCACCTGCTGCACACACGTGTGTGGGCATGTGCACGTGTGTTTGTGCGCACGTGCATGCGTGCGTGTACGCGTGTGCACCTGTGTCGGCGCGTGGACATGCATGTGCATGCATGTGTTTGCATGTGTGTGTACAGAGGTGTACGTGTGCAGGCATCCTTTAGCAGGTGCATGCAAATGTGGGTGCGTTGCACCTGTATGCCTGTTACCTGGGTATGTGCATGCATGTGCCTATGTGCGCATGCACTGTGCATGTGTGTGCTCTGCGTGTGCATGCATGCTGTGTACATGTGCATGCATGTGTGAACGGGTGCATGTGTACATGGGTGGGGGGACATCTGAGTGTATGTGGCCTGTGTACACGTATGCACGTGCCTATGTGTGCATGTGCATGATGCAGGTGTATACCTGCGTGTGCATGCGTGTGTGTGCACATGGGTGTGCATGCATTTCGTGTGCATGCGTGTAGGTGTGTGCAGATGTGCCATGCTTGTGTGTACTTGCATGGGCAGATGCATGTGTGCAAACGTGTGTGGGGAGGTTTGTATGTGTGTGTGTAAGTGCAGGTGTGTGTGTATGAGAATACATGAGTTTTTTAAACTGGAACTTATAGTCAGGAGGTGAAGCCTCCACCCACCCAGTTAGGTAAACCCAAGACCTGGGAGTCCCCCAACCCTTCTGCAAGCTCTGACCATTCAGCCTCCAAAACAGATCTCAGGTCCCACCACCTGCTACCACACTAGCTCAGTGCCACAGGCTGAATGTCTGTGTCCTCCCCGAAATTCATATGTTGAAGCCCTAATCCCCAAGATGTTGATTTCAGGAGGTGGGATCCTTGGGATGTATTTAGGTCACGATGATGGTGCTCTGTCATGTGATTAGGGCTCCTCTGAGAAGAGACAGGAGATGTTCACTCTCTCTCCACAGGCAGAAGCCAGAAGGTGGCTGTCCATAGTCCAGGATGCAAGCCCTCCCATGCTGAACCCTGATCTCAGACTTCCTGCCTCCAGACCTGTGAGAAATAAAAGCTTGTCCTCTAAACCATCCAGTCTACGGTATTTTGTGATAGCACCCCGAGCTGACTGAGATACTGAGGCACCTCCATCTCTCACTCAGGCCATTGCCTGCCTCACCTCTCGATACCTTAAAATCTGTCCTCTACCTTCTAGTTAGTGTAAGCTATTTATATTTCTTTCTTTCTAGAGACAGGGTCTCGCTCTGTCGCCCAGGTTAGAGTGCAGTGGTGCGATCATAGCTCACTGTAACCTTGAACTTCTAGGCTCAAGTGATCCTCCTGCCTCAGCCTCCAGAGTAGGTAGAACTAAAGGCACGTGCCACTACACCCGACTGATTTCTTTTTTTATTTTTTCAGAGGTGGGATCTTGCTATGTTGCCCAGGCTGGTCTCGAACTCCTGGCCTCAAGCAATCCTCCCGCCTCAGCCTCCTGGGATTACAGGCATGAGCTATTTATGTATATTTTATTTTATTTGGGTGAAAGTCACTCAATAGAAAACCATTTAAAATGGCAACACGGTGGTATTTTGCACCTCCACAGTGTTACACAACCACCAACTCTAGTTCTAAAACCTTTTGGTTGTGCCCCAAAGAAATCTTATTTCTATAAGCAATCACTCTGCATCTCTGACTCCTTCTGACCCCAATGCCCTGGTGACCACCCCTTGACTTTCCTGCTTTATGGATTTATCTATTCTGATATTTCCTAAAAATAAAAACACAGGTGAGTGGATTGCCTGAGCCCGCGGGTTCGAGACCTGCCTGGGCAGCGAGACCTCAGCTCTACAAAAAAAAAAGAAAAATCAGCCGGGCATGAGAGCGCATGCCTGTAATTCCAGCTACTCGGAAGGCTGAGGCGGAAGGATCACCGGAGCCCAGCAGGTCGAGGTGAACACATATATATCTCAGTACCAGTTCCCCCTTTTTTAAAATGAGTCGAAGTCTCACTCTGTCCCCCAGGCTGGAGTGCAGTGGCACGCTCATGGCTCACTGCAGCCTCGACCTGCTGGGCTCAGGTGATCCTCCTGCCTCAGCCTTCCAAGTAGCTGGGACTATAAGCACATGCTGGCATGCCCGGCTGATTTTTTTTTATATCTTGTATAGACGAGGTCTCACTATGTTGCCCAGGCTGGTCACGAACTCCCAGGCTCAAGTGATCCTCCTGCCTCAGCCTCTCAAAGTGCTGGGATTACAGGCATGAGCCACCACGCCCAGCCCAGTCTGCAGTTCTTTTGGGTACATACCTAGGAGCGGAATTGCTGGTGTGAGCTTTTTAAATACATAAGCCCTCTGCTTATCACAGTCTTCCAATGGCTTCCCACTGAGCTGACAGAGGTTGGCAACCTGTGGACCCAATCCAGCTGGTCTCTTGTTTCTGTAGAGCCATGGGAAGGATGCCAGGGGGCTGGCACATTGGTGAGGTTGGGAGACCCAGCTTGAGTGGTCTCCTCTGTCCCCTGTTCCCTGCTTCTCTCCCAGTACCTGCCTCCCTGCCGACTGAGGGTCAATGCCTTGTCACTGTCCAGGGCCTGAGCTGGTCGTGTTGGTGGGCACCTACTTTCTGGAGTCTCCCTTACTGGAAACTGCCAGGCACTGAGTGGTGGCATCTCCTGGAGTTGCCTAGCCTCTGGCCTGCTAAGATGAGAGCTGGGCTCTCAGGAGATAAAGGTTCTCTGGGATCCGGGTGTCACTGGAGCAGAGGGAGAAGCTGACCCTGATGGCTACCCCCGCCCCAACCCAACCTGTCTGAAACTCCAGGCTGTGTCCCCTGGAAGGGTCACTCTTTGTCCAGAAAATGTCTCCAGTCCCAGGAGCAAAGGGTGTCCTCCACCCTCAGTGTCCCCTCCCAAGCCACAAGGGCATGGTGGCTGGACATTTCCCCCTCCTGCTTTATTTTATTTATTTTTTAAAGTCAAGGTCTCACTCTGTCATCCAGGCTGGAGTGCAGTGGCACAATCACAGCTCACCACAGACTCCAAGTCCTGGGCTCCAGTGATCCTTGCTCCTCAGCCTCCTGAGTAGCTGGGACTACAGGTGTGCACCCCCCCCCACTCAGCTAATTTTTTAAATTTTTACTAGAGACAAGGTCTCGCTATGCTGCCCAGGTTGGTCTTGAACTCCTGGGCTCAAGCAATCCTCCCGCCTCTTGGCCTCCCAAAGTGCTGAAACTGCAGGTGTACACCACCCCACCTGGCTAATTTTTCAATTTTTTTGTAGAGACAAGGTCTTGCCATGTTGCCCAGGCAGGTCTGGAACTCCTGGGATTAAGCAATCCTCCCGCCTCGGCCTCCCAAAGTGCTGGGATGACAGGCGTGAGTCACCGAGCCAGGCCCATGCTGTCTTTAAGTGTCGTTTCCTACTGCTCCCTTTTAGACTGTGAGACTCGGAAGATCCTGTCTGAGCTGTGCACAGCCCCAAACAATCGTTGTTTAGCTCAAGATAAAAGTGAATACAAACAAAACCCCAAACTGCCCCCGTGTGTTCAAAAAATGAATAAAATGAACGCCAGACAGGAGAGAGCAAGGGTAAGAAAAGAAATGAGAAAAATGAGAAGACTGGTGGATTTGGCAGGAGTGAAGAGGCATTTTGCGGCTTCTCCCCCTTGATGGGAGGCTGCGGATTGAGATCTCCCATATTCCTGGAGTTGGGGGTTTCCAGGACCTGAGGGTCTTAGGGGAAGGAGGCTGTGCAGCCTTGACTTTCAGGCTCAGGAGGGTTTCCTGAGAAGACTGGGGGAGAGGCTGGATCCCACCAGCCCCACGCACACCCTCTCAGCCTCCAGGGGGCCTGGGCGCGGTGATAAGGGGCACTTGGGACCCCTCAGCAGCCAGACCCCCAGCACCCGAGGCTGCTGCTACTCCCCCACACATTTCTGGCCACGCTGTGATGCAAGCGTCCCC